GGGAGCGCCGCCGCGCTTCCCAAGCGGCGCACTGTAGCAGTGTGCCACCGGGCCGGCCCCGTAAAAATTCTTTTAATTGTCTTTGAACAAGAAGAGTTTCCTGCAGACCTGCAGTAAGTCACAGTTGCTTCTTGTTTCTTGTTTCCCACGTTCGGCTTAGTTAATATACCTTCTGGGTTTCTATGCCTGCTGTGCACATTGTGTCTTCTTTATACCATGGGCATCCTCTTAGTTCAGCTCTTATTGTATATTGCTTGGATCAGGGTAAAGTCCTCCTGGTTCTAAAGAGTTATTATTTCTCCAGCTTTTGGCCTCCTGTCTTTGTAAGGAGATACCATAGGAATCCTTCTCATGTCCAGCTCCTGTCATGACATTCCCCTGGCCCAGAGCCTCCAACAGCTCCTTACTTCTTATTGAATAAAGCACGTGCTCCTTTGAATATATTCAAAGCACACAAATTTTACAAAGTTTTCTTCCACATCACTCTGCATATGTCCAGTGTCTCCAGTCAAACTGTCCCCTGAACAACCCTCATGGCCCCCTCCTCCTTTCTTTTGCTTATGCTGTTTCCATGCTGAGAATGGCACCTTGCCTCTGATCTGGACACTGAAATCTTAACTTATATAAAATCCTATCTTTTCTTTTCAGTTTCTCTTGTTCTTCCCAATCAATAGGGACTACTCTGTTGGCACCAAACAGTGTGTTGCACTTTTATTTTTTCATATTTAATTTTTTAGTTGAGTTATGGTGAATTTGACTCATTCCCCTAGAGGTTTTAGGAAGAGGGCAACATTGTTAACTCAATTTTAACTTCTGTTGGATAGCATACAGTCTGTGACTTGCAGATGGCAGGCAATCAGCACATTTTTTTGGTTGTGTTTAAATTTAATGCAAAAAATTAGAATGACTAAATAAAACCAAAGCTGTGTTTGCAAGGCCAAAGAAGAGAAGTTTATTCGAAAATAAACATGCCACAAGACCTAAGATCTAGCATGGGAAGAAGGAAGCTACTTCTGTTACAAAGACTTGAGAATGGCCCAAGCCTTAATTGATGAGCCAGGATCTGCATTCACAGACTGATTGATTTGGGGTTGTGATGGCTCAGGGCCTGAGGTTTATTAGGTACAGAGTATGGCTTTTTCAGAAGGTTAATTGCTTGCTCCAAGTAGTCAGTTGACGACTCAATAGCAGCAGGTCCTGCAGGTGGTGCGGCATGGGGCAGGCTGGCAGCAGGGGGGGCGGCAGCAGGGGGACTGCACGGTGACAGGCTGGCAGCAGGTGGTGGCCCAGCAACAGGGGCGGCAGACCACGGCAGTGCAGGATGTGGGGCAGCAGTAGATGGGGCGGCAGCAGCCCTCCTGCAGGCCACAGGGGTCGCAGCAGATGGGGCGGCGGCAGGGCTCGCAGATGGGGCGCGTGCAGCGGGGCACACAGGTCACGGGGCGGCACACGGTGGTCTGGCAGCACACGGGGCGGCAGCAGCAGGGGTCGCGGCAGCAGCAAGGCTGGCAGCAGTCCCCACAGGTGGAGCCGCAGCAGGAGCACGTCATGGTGGTGTCTGGGGCTGGTCTGGAGTGGGCTGTGGAGAGGAGTTGGGTGTTCTCAGGTGTGATGTCTTCCTCCACTTCTGGGACCTTTATATACCCTGGATGTGTGCTGATGATCCTTTTTGTTTATCTTTTGGCCAATTAAGTAGAATTTTGTTTTGACTAATGATTGCTAGTGACGTACTCATGCCTCATTAAATAACTCTTGTTGCATCTGTAAGTCTGAATGTATTTACACTGCTCATTCTGAAAATCTAAAGACTCATAGCCTTTTGAGTTGATAGCAACTCTTGATGTGTATTTTGAGTACATAGCACCTGGTTAAACTTGGACAAAATAGTTCTAAAGGAACTTCAATTTTTAAAAGAAATTAAACATTGAATAGTGTGTGGAGCATGGATTCAAGCCTATCTGTGATCCCCACCTGGTCCCCTGGAAGAGCCTACATGTGAATCCGGCAGGTGTTAGACACATCATTACATTGCATACCTTGGGAATACATTTGTTTATCGTTTGATGTAGCAGAATTACAGTATATGCTTTGAATAGGACAGAAGCTCAGATACTTCTATGGGAAAGGCAAAGGTTTGTTTTTGTAAACCAAGTAAGTATTAGACTAAAACATCTGAGACTATCAAAAGCTTTTTCCTTTTCTCCAGTTCAGGCTGTGTGCAATTCTGGTCCTTCTGGTTACAGAATACTAATTTTTATCTCTGAAACATGACTTTTTTAAAAATTTGATATTCTTGTGTATGCAATAGAAAGTTGTGTAATGGGAAGTTTTTTTCTTAATATACATTGACATGGGTACTGTGTCTATCAAATGACAAGGTGGCGTTTTTTTTTCAACCGCCATTGAAAACATATAAAATACACTGTTTAGGGGAGGCACATTGGGAAACCACACAGCTGTGCTGCTGTGGCATTGCTAAAGGTGTGCTGGACATGTTTCTTCAGGAAGTATTGCCAGGGGCAGTTTAGAAACTTCATGAAAGAAACAGTCTCATTACTTTCCAGCTTTACCCCTCCTATTACTCCTCAGACCGGGTTTTGAATCACTTTAAGATTATTTCCATCATCCAAAAAAAATGTGCCTTGGGCACTGGGATCTGAAGCTCCCCAAATGGAATTTCAAACATAATTTCAAAACTTTAAAAGGAATGTAAATTGACTGGACACACAGTCACAAGGGAAACAGAGCAGAGAAAAGTGAAGCACAGTCTCATCTTCAACTCTCTCATGGTTCATATTCTTTCCTTTGTT